GTTAACTGTTCCTTGTTAACTGCTCTGCCTGAATCACCAGTTGTGTTGAGTGCTTTATTGTGTGCGTCCATGAGAAACTTACCACACACACACACACATACACACACACACACGGATATTCTTTCACACATCCTAACAGACAAACAGCTACCTATGCCCAGATACTGTACCAACTTGGCTGTATTTCAACATACTGGAATAAAGGAGAAACTCAAGAAGGAAAACTGCTTCACTGGTGTTCTTACCGACATCACCCGAACAACACTCACCACCCATACCCAGTTATAGTCCTAACCAGGTCCTCACCTACATTTTGGTCGGATGCAGTGTTGATTTGGGATCAAGGTGCAAGCAGTTCGTCCAAAGCGGCAAACACGTCCACCACGTTACCTGGCCAACTACGAAGTTGACACAGTGAGTTACAGCCACCATCGTTCTCCTGAAGCTTCTGCCATGTATGAGCAGGAAAGAGAGTGGAGATCTCCTATGGACGGAGAGGTCGAGATGACACCCACCACATACTCACACAGCCCATATCCTCAGCGCCAAGTGCAGTGGGAGCCAGCCCTCGATGAACAAGAGGACGAGTACTTCCCTAGGCACGCCACAGGATATGACAGGAGTCGTGAGGCATCAAGAGAGATGTTCCCACCTTCTTCTGAGCCCACCTGGAGAGGAGACTTGACTGCTGAGTGTAAGGCTGAGCTACAAGAGATTCGTGTTGAGAATAGGAAACTTTGTGAGTCTTATGGGCACATATTCGACAATATCAGTCAGCTAAGAGACAGAAAGACATTAAGTCACTTACAGACAGAGTAAAGGCTCAAAGTAGGGCCTAGGCAACGTATCAGGACCCAGGTTTGCTGTTACCTCCTCCTCCACCGCCTATTCTCTTCTCCCAGTTACAGATCAAGAGAGTGATGAAAGTGACTGGCCACCACCTCCACAATGGCCCTCTGCCAGTGAGGGAGAGAAACCCGAAATGCTTTCAGCCATCGAGAGGATGATGAGCGAGCTACAGCTTCTAAAGCAGAGTGCTACTTCAAGTTTAGCAACCAAGAGTGACCTGTGCTCTACTCCTAGAGCAGGCTACCTACCAAGACCTCTGCCACCATTCAGCAGGTCTCACCCCTTCAGTAACTCAAGCCATAGGACTCAGTACGAGCCTGAGCCACGCTTTAGGTATTCACCCAGTCCTCAAGCAGGCTTTAGGTCTTCATTCCCAAGTGACTGCCACTCTTCCACTGCCTTCACTTCAGAAGAGAAAGTATACAGAGGGCCAAAGCCTAAGATTCCCTTATTCTGTCATAGGGACACAATGGAGTTTGCCCGGCTAAAGATAGCTTTAGAGAATCTTCTGCCAGCGGATAGCACCGAGCTCTTTAAATATCAAGTCCTGACTGATCATTTGAGACTCAAAGAGGTAGCCGACTCCTACCTTAACTCGCCCACACCTTACTTCGACACAATGGCAGCATTAAAGGAGAAGTTTGGTCAGCCCCATCATGTGGCTCTGAAGAGAATAGCTACTATTATGGACTCACCAGAGGTCAAGCGCAGAGACATTTCAGGCTTCGAGAGGTTCGCCTTGCAGGTGCAGTCTCTTGTAGGTATGCTCCAGACACTTGGACATGATGGAGATGTGGAACTTAGATGTGGCTCCCATGTTGCTCGTCTGCTCACCAAACTCCCACCCGAGTTTAGAGCTGACTTTCGCCGTACAATGCTTCAGAAACCAGGGGCAACGTACACCCACCCTGGCAGAGTGGCTAAGACACGAGTCCTGGTGCCAAGGTTACGAAGTCCAGCCAACAAGCAAAGGACAGCTACACAGCTACAAGGGTGACAAGCGGCAGAGTAGACAGGCAGCTACAGTGTTACATGGTGTGGAAGACCCGAGGCCCACAAATCCATCAAGCCAAACTCCTGACTATGGCCAAGCCGTATCTTGCGACTTTAATCTCGTAAATTTACGATTTTAATCTCGAAATTTAAAAAAAAAAATTTTTTTAGCGTGGCCCTAATCCTACGTTGTACCAAATAAGTCAATTAATCCTATTTCTACAGGTTCAACAAGACAAAGACAATCCAGAGACTAAGATGAAACACTAATGCACGGAGCCGAGCAGAGCCAGCCTCTCAATGTCTTCCTCATCCTTCACACTCTTTCAGCTTAATCAGCAGCTGATTCTTCTCAGGGAGGGCCTGAGTTTAGACATCAGTGCAGAGAGAGAGAGAGAGAGAGAGAGACTAAAGTGTCGGGAGAGGATTCACAGCTGGTGTCAAATAAAAAACAGATATGTAGGGAGGGGAACCGTTTGTGAGGAAATAAGAAGAAGAAATGTGTTACTTTTCAAATCATAATGTTTCTTTTTAACCATGTAAAAGAGCTGAACTACCTCCTAACAGTCACCATAATTGATAGATACAAACGTGATGCTCCAACTTTAAAGAATCTCTTATGGGTTTGAAACTTGAAACAGCCAGCAGAGGGCAGGCTTGCAATGAAAGAGGAACGAGATGTTCTCAGTGTAATTGGATCACTGTTGTTTGTTGACCTAATGTATTTGTGGTTCATTAGTAAACTGATAAAGTAAATCTCATTTAATTTCTTCATTAAGCTCGCAGGCACTGTGCCAGTTATCGAGGTATTTGTTCAAAATCTTTGCATCTCGTGTGTATGTGAGCGAGAGAAACAGAAAGTGTGTGAGGACAGATATGGACCATGTGGTGAGGATCAGGAGTCATAAAAACACAACAAGAAACGTCCGATGTGATCTGTAAATTATAGTCAGGCTTCAGGCGCTGAAGAACTTCTTAAGTTTCAGCTTTGAGTTGTTTTCCGCCGTGCTCCCCCCCACCCCTTTATTCTTTTGAGTCCGAACATATGTTGACCATCATGCTTTCTTCCAGAGGAGGCTGCTGCATTCTTGACCTAAAACGTCCTCACAGTTGGTTTTCATAATGACACTGCCACACAGCTGACAGCAAGATGAGAGCTTTGCTTTCTGAGGCTCTTTGGACATCTATCACTGTGCACAGCTCGCCCTTCATTTCAGTGGTTGAAGTGTTTTCTTTGCAAGAGGCCTTATTGGTATTCCAAAAAGAGCTTTTACAAAGTTGCATGACTCAGTTTCATGTTTAATAATCATCTTTTGTAGCAAGCATGCATTTATCTATCCTTTTAAGGGTTCCTTTCGAGACACAATGTGCCTATTTGCAGTCGCACAATAACCAGTCTGAAACCGTGAAAGAAAAGGCACCAGGCCGGAGATGTTCTCCAGGAACTGATCAGCGTGAACGTTTAACGATGAACTCTTTATTTTGAAAGGGAGAAAGTTCTTCTTCTGATTAACTCAGACACTACAAGCAAATTTCTTGTGTTTAGGGACCGATAGTAAAACATTTTTTTTTCAAGGAATGCATGATGATTCATAAACTCATTTACAATTATAGCATTTCAATCCAGCCACTAATTTGACTTTCTGGAGAGTGAAATGATGTCAAATTGCATTTAATCATGAAGAGGTTTGTGAATGAATGATGATGAGCTATGATTAGCTTGTCAGGCCTGTTTTTGATGGCGACAACTACTTTGAAGATCAAAAGCAACAGTTAATTGGAGGTCTATTGGTCCAAAGACTGGTGCACAGTTATGTGAGCAAGGGAATTGACGTTAATTTACGTGCAATACAACAGCCTGTGACTAAATGTCATATTGGAGGATAAATGAATATAGCTGAAATGAAGCTATAACTATACAACTATATAGCTATAGCTATAAATGAAGATTTGACTGAGATTAAAGAAGATGATAGAAGGCTAATAGTTCTTGACAGAACTATTTATTTTTTTCCATTAAAACCAGAAGTAAATTGCACTATTTCAGAAGATGAATCCCAAATCCAACGGTATACGCGCACAAGGCTAAAGAAGTACTACAATAGGCTACTACTCAATATTATCCTAATTATTAACTGTAGACAATAGCCTACTAATAAAAATCATATGATAGGCCTATATACTCTTTCGATTTGGGGAAGTGCTTCATTTTTAATTGCATTGGTAGTACTGAAAATAAGTGCTGTATTAAGATAAAGCTAATACACATATATGTGTGTTGCTATAGCCTATATTGGATATTCTCTGTTGAAATAAAACAGACATATGCATAACCTGTGTGTTTATTATTAAGCTACATTGCTATTAAATCTTAGTCCACATAAATGTCTGTTTAGAGAGGAAAAAGAAGAACATGATGCTTAGACTAGAAAAGAGGGAAACGTCATAAGTGCATGTAAATCAATAGAGGGGCATCAGAAGATACATTTTCCATTTTGGAAACTTTTGTTGAAGTTGTGATAAAAAAAATACAAAAATATATTAAAACTTTGTAACCAAATTAAGATGGGTTTTTTCCAATATCTCTCATGTAACCTGTACGTGAGAAAATCTGAATCAAATTGAAAAATTAGCCCGGTTAAGTCATGAAGCGTCTCAAGTGTTTGTTTTAAGGTGGAGCGGCAGCTAAAAAACGCGTCAAACTCGGGAAAACACGCCCCATACGCGCTCCAGGATTTCAAGAAGCTAAAATGTAGCCTCGTTTTATTAATCACCAAACAAACGCAAATTAGCTGGAACTTTGGTGCTTAAATAAAAGATTTTACAAACATTTAACTTCCCATCTTCCATTTGTTCAGCAGCGCGGTGAAATCCGCCGTGCCTCCTTAACTGAGTGCTGGCACTCCAGAGTGGGGAGTGCAAAGGAGAGGGTCAGAAAGATTGGTGGGTGGGGATAGAAACCCTTTTGGGAGAGAGAGAGAGAAAGAGAGAGAGAGAAAAAAAAAAAACTTAAAAAAAAAAAAAAAAAAAAATCACGTGTTTGGAGATCAAAGGAGATCCGCTTTGTAGAGGGGGGAGGAGGAGGGGTGAGAAAGAAAGGGAGAGAGGGAGGGAGAAAGAGAGAGAGAGAGAGAGAGAGAGAGAGCGAGCGAGCGAGAGAGAGGGAGCGTTTGCAGGCAATGTAATTGACAAGGCTTGCAGTGGTGAAATAAACACGCTTCAGCCCGGGCGCAGCTTTTGGTGCACAATTCAGACTCTTTTGACGCATCGCACGTAACACGCAGAGACCTGATTACAATTACCTTCACCCGATTAATTAATCCGTGTGAAATTATGTCCCGATCGGCGCAGATCCAGCCGGCAAGATGATGATTTTACCAAGGAGAGGCTCAGATCGTGTACCCGACTCGGTGGTCCTGGTGATCCTCGCGGTTGCCGCTTCTCTTGGTTCGGTTTTCGCCAAGGATACTGCCTTTGTGGAAGTGGTTCTGTTCGAGTCCAGTCCCAATGGAGATTATACTACTTACACGACTGGCTTGCAGGGACGGTTCTCCAAAGCAGGAGCCACTATCAGCGCGGAGGGGGAGATCGTTCAAGTACGTATAAAGTGTGTTTTTTCCTTTCTTGCGGGAATGACAAGCTGCTGTGCTGAGGAACAGAACCGGGACACTGGATGCAATTTCAACAGTCTGGCCCTCTTCAAACTTTTTTTTTTTTTTTTTTTTCCACAGGGGCTGGAGGGGGGGGGATTGACAAGAGTTGTAGATGGTGTGTATGTGTATGTATGCAGGCGGTGTAAGGATGGTACTAAGCTTGCAAGCATATGCGGTCACAAGATGGCTCCTATCTTGTGGAATTCATTCACAGGGAAAACATGCTCTTGCAGGTTATTTTGTTGATGTCTCGAGCTCTCCTGAGTGCACGTTCCAGTGAATTACGCTTCTGTAGAAACACGCGCTCACCGGGAACCGCTTTCCTTAAAAGTTAGAAATCCTGCACCGCCTCTGTGGAGTTTGTAAACTTTCGAGCGAGCAGACTTTACGCATGTTCCTAGAGCAACTCGGCTACCAGGCTGCTTTACGAGCTTAGTGTTGACTCTGTGTCTGTTAAAGTGATGCGCTTTGAGCCAAATGCGCACGGTTAAACCCTAAATGTTAGTTTAGCTTAGCACAACGTTTGTTTTCATTGACCGTGCCGACGCGTAAACACGTACGTCCCCGCCGCCTGTAGCCTCTCTACAAGTAGCCTTCATCAACGCTGCTTTGAAGTTGCAGGACTTTGGTTCAGCCTTACTTATAACTCTTATAAGGCTTTAAAATGCTTTTTTTTTTCCCCTTAAAGGAAAGAAGCCTTCATCTTTTATCTCATGGGCCTCATGAGTGATAGGCCTAAATAGAGTCGGCTGGAGCTGCTTATTCTTGGATCAGTCATCAAGCTTTGATGGAGTAGCCGAGTAGTCACTGAAATATGAAGCTTTTTTTTTTTCCTCCAAAGCCAAGAATTGACTTGCCTGCTCTTTGTAAGGAAGCAAAGAGTTGGAGTTACAGTCACGTCACAAACATATAATGTTTCATGTTGTATTTACCGACCTCTAACACTTCCTCTGTTATTGTTTGAAATGGACAGACACACAGCTCTCTGTAATGGGTTAGAGGACCCTTGAGTGTTGTGCTGTGTTTATTTGATGGGTATCCGACCTTTTGAAGGCTACACTGTTAACACGGAGGTATCTGTAAAATGTGTCTGCCACGGAAAGTTCATTTTGATTGAGTTTATGACTGATTGTTGGAGCCATTTTGGTAGGAAGGATTTTTTTCTGATGTTTACACTGTTGATTGGGTTATGAGGTGGTGAGAATGAGGGGGCCACTGCATGGACGGTTGGCCGTGAGACGCTGGTTGAGTTTTTGTTGTTTATTTCTTGTGTAAAAGTCAGTAGCTGCTGAAGTGTGACAACAGACTGAAGAAACTATTGCGTTCTATGAGAGCATTGGTTTTTGGTGGCCAGCCAGGTTTCAAAACCGCCTTTGAAGCGAGAGAGAGAGAGAGTTGAGGGGCAGAGGGGGTGTAAATGTTGCAAAAAAAACACATTTGGTTGTTCATCAAGTTCACCACGTTATCAACTGTAACAGAGAATTTCATGCTGCACCCATATGTGATTGCCAGGTTCAAGTAGACAGGCGCTTCATTTGCAAATGTTTCTTCATGTTAATATGTGTGCATAGCGAGTTTATACATGATTTAGAATCCCAATCAAACCCTCACAACTCTGCAATAATGTCTTCATCAACAGCACAGCAGCATCTTGTCATTGCAAGTATGCCTTACTGTTTTCCACCAAAAATGCTTAATCTGACTTTGAAAGAAAGATGATACGTGGGAATCAAAGGAGGGGATACTCAGCATAAAAAAAATGGCCCCTGTTTATACACACTGATGGCCGTTTGGCGCCACTCGGTAACCACACAGAAATATAGACCTCAGCTTTACATTGAAAACCACATCTATTTGGGTTTGCTTTCTTTGCTAACATAGCTTCTGACCACTTAGGGGCAGCTCGTATTTTGTCAGGCTATAATGAGGGACATTTTGTCCAGCAGGACGCACTGTCTTGAATTTCTTGCAACATATTTTCTACCCAGAATTTATGAAACTTGAAGCTGACGATGAATGACAACCGTACAACTTGAGGACTATAATTTTAAACCGGTATCAAATTCCCCACTTGAAAATTCTATACTTGTGAAATAACATGGCAGTAACGTGTTGGGACATTGCTGTGGTATTGTAACAGATATAGATTTACACTGAAATCTGGCTGAAGACAAATATTTAGATTGTGCGACCTCTGCAACCATTGCACTTGACTACTTTCTGCTCTCAAGGTTTGAGCCATCTTGTGCTCAGTGAATGGGGCGCTTGATTTGGTCTGCCTGAGGTTTACTAGGCCTTCTAGTCCTTTCCTCTGCTGTTTGAACAGAGCCCTGAGGGGTTTGTGTTACCTTGTGTGTGTTCAGTAGTGGTCAGACCTCAGCAGGTATGGGTTCAAATACAGGGGAGAGAGGGGGCTTGGCAACGTTCCTGAGCAAAGACCCGACCAAAATCAGCACTCATACACTCCTAACCCATCTCACTAATTCCCTAAAGCTATCGCCCTCTCAGCTCTGACCAAAGAGTGCGAAAATGTGGCAAATACTGCCGGGGCCAAAAATAATACATTAACTTCATTTTTTTCCTTGCTCTGTTCTTTTTTTTTGGAAGGGGGGGGGGGTCTGGTCACAGCCAGCCTCAGGCTTCCCCAAAGCCAGCTCCATGTTACTCCAATTCAGCTCTGTAATAGGAAAGTAATCAATGTCTCCTTAAATCATTCTATCATGACTGTGTGTATGTGTGTGTGTGTGTGTGTGTGTGCATCAACAGGCATTTCTCTAGTGTGTGTGTGTGTGTGTGTGCATCAACAGGCATTTCTCTAGTGTGTGTGTGTGTGTGTGCATCAACAGGCATTTCTCTAGTGTGTGTGTGTGTGTGTGTGTGTGCATCAACAGGCATTCATCTAAGACAACTTTAAGAGCAGCTCTTGGCAACCGGAGTATTATAGGTTTTCTGTCCTGCTGGGTAGTTAATTGTATTCACCTAGATTACAGTACTTCCTCGATGGCCCTGTTCAATGAAAACTGGCTGTGCTTTGGGCCCGGGAAGTTCTGATTTGGAGGAAGTGGACTACTATAAATATTACACATTATACATAGCTTAAAAGTAAGTATTGACCTGCCAAATCTTTCCGAATACGGGCAGCAGTTTGACTTGGGTTAAGCCTGTTAGGCAGGGCTACAAAGGCCCAACCTAATTGTCCCCTGACTGAGTTACCCAGGTCAAACCTGGATTGGCAGAGATAGACAGAGCCAGTTGTGACTGAACGCTTTTTGTTTCTTTGATGTAATGATATTTCTGGACTCACCTCTGCACGCAGGACACTCACATTGTCAGCTGTCATGTTATTCACATTCCCATCATTGTTGACAGTGCACACGCATTGCTTTACTAATTCAATGTGAAGGGGAAAGATCATCTGCTGCTCATCATTCTCTATTGTCTCCCTGATGCCAAATCATCTTTCCTGTAGCGAGATGAGCAGTGCATCAACGCACATCTGCCTCTGATTTCCAGTGGGCCCGCGCCGTCAGCATGTGAGTGAGGAGCTCAGGCAGGGACGTGGCAGGGGCACCCAGAGGACCAGATGGGACTCGCAGCGTAGTCGGCCAGAACCCAGAGGGAATAACGTGGCTTTTGCCGACTTCCTCTCAGAAGGGACACAGAGAAAGAGGACATCCTCTGAATCCAGCATCAGGAAGAAGATGATTTAGCTTCCCAACACCCATGAGCTTGCTTCACCTTTGAACTTCATCCCCATGCACATGAAGTGCCAGCAACTATAGCCTGGGAGGCTTCATGATGTGGTTCTTTGAAAGTGGCAGTTTTTCACTGACTGGATGTGCAGGGGGAAAGTGGTGGTTTCGAGTTAAGACAACGATGAGCTTAAATACTGGAGCTCCTACCTTGGAGTTGGCAACAGTTGTGTCGCGCTGCATTTAGACTATAATGAGAGCTTTAGTGGTTTAAGGCATCCAGCGCGCTTTCTCACCACAGGCTGGAAACCCCAAGAGGCCAAAATGGGACGGCCCGAGACGGGAGGTGCCAGGGACTGGGCCACTCCCAGCACCAAAGCAACAGTAGCAGTACACAAATGCTGGTTTAAAAGGTTTAAAGTTCTGCTCCGTACTTTTTTCCATTTATTGGCTTGGCGGTCTCAGCTGTATTTTAAGCGCTATCGTCTCGTAACCGCCACCCTGTTTCACTTTCATGTGCCAGCCAAAGTAATTTGAGGCTGCGTTTCCCCCCCTTTTTTCGGAAAAGAACAGACTTAACTGTTATTCTCTTTCTGTTGCTCAACGCCCCCCCCCCCCCCCCCAAACACACACTCCCACCCCCCACCTCCCGTCTGTTCTTTTGATTTAGCCAAAGTTGTCATGCGTCGTATATTGCACAAAAATGACTTCAAGTCAGGATTGCACATATTTTGTGAAAGAAGCATTACTGCACATTTACTTGCCATATTAGCGTACTTGAAATAACCATTCCATTTACTAAATGAGGTTGACGTCGAGTAATGATCAACTTATTCAGAAGCTCACAGATATGTGAAATCCTTCAAATGTAAACAAATAGAAATACTATTTTTAGCAATGAACTGAGTGCTCTGCTTGCCAGGAGGGAACGATCCGGGGTATGTCATCGTCAAGCACTTATCATGCTGTTGAGTCAGTACATTTTCATCCAGGCTTCTTTTAATTGGCCACATTATCTCCCAAATCGGCAACCCCTTTTTCCCTCCAATGCACGTGGCTCTTTCCCCTCCCAGTGTCTCGTTCCCACTAACTGCACTGCTCCACCTGGAACAAGTGCATGTCGGTACTGGTGGCCCCAGTAGCTATATTAGTTTCCACTGGGCTGAGTGGCTGAGCCGATCTTTGATGTTCCACTCAAAGAGAGATTAGCAGGCAGTAAGTGCTTGCTACTGCCTTCACTCCAGCATCCAT